TACCGTCAACCGTGAGCATGTACCGTTAGTGTATACAGTCAATCATACAAGTGTACCGTCAACCGTGAGCATGTACCATTAGTGTATACAGTCAATCATAGAAGTGTACAGTCAACCGTGAGCACGTACCGTCAGCGTATACAGTCAACCATAGAATTGTACCGTCAACCATGAGCATGTACCGTTAGTGTATACAGTCAACCATAGAAGTGTGCCGTCAACCATAAAAGTGTAACACTAGCCCGGAGTGTTCTGTTAACATATTCAGTCAACTGCACGTGTACCGTCAACTGCGTGTGTACGCCATCAACAGCGAGCATGTACCGTCAATCATATGTTGAGAAAACAGAAGCAGATGTTCACGTTAAATCTGAAGAATGGATAAGGTTACCTGCTAGCAGAGAAAGTGCCACCAATGGAGCGTGCACAGCCTGTTCGAGTCCCTCTTGGCGTCACTTTGTTTCGGTTGCTTTAGTTTTTAGATTAAACAACAGTGTGGCTGTTTATTTTTTTTAACTACTGGTTTTCTTTGTGTCAGTTTGAACCGTTTTTAGTTTATCATAAATATCTGCAAATATCAATTCTAGACAAGATTATACCAATGTAAACCAGGTTCGAATGTTTTGATGAGCAAGCTCGCTTATTATTGGAATCACACTTTGACGTAACTGTGCTGTCAAACGTGAAAAAATAAATACTTTAAATAGAAAAAATGGTAAATGGACTGTACTTTTATAGCTCCTTTCTATCTTTTCAAGACACTCAAAGCTCTTTACAACAATCTGCCCTCATTTACCCATTCATACATCGATGGGACACACATCGGAGGCAATGAGGGGTTCAGTGTCTTGCCCAGGGACACTTCGGCATGCGACTGCTGGTGGAATCGAACCCCCAACTCTTGCATTGGAGGACAATCTTTCTAACTACAAAGCCACAGCTGCCCCATAAAGTCACTCACTGGAAGGGAGAAATTTGTCAGTAATCTCATTTTATTTATACTGTGCCGATGACTACAAGATATACTGTTAAATAATAATGATGTATTTTTAATACATTACCCTTGAATACAAGTTACATAAAAGGCAAAACCCACTATTTTCAGTGTCCTATTTTAGTCCTAAAAGCACATTTCAACTAGTGAACTTTGACATTATGAGGATTTATGTTTAAAAGTTCCGATTTGTAGATATTTTTGTTGCCACGTTTCAAACTAGACACACAAACAGAATCAAATGAAAAACTAATTATTTTCCATATTTATTAAATGTATTCGATTCAATCAAAATTGCTTAACCCACTCAAAAAAAAAAAAGTTCTTAGAGAAGACTTGATTTATACACTACAGTGAGGAAAACTGCACACTTGGGTGGGTGGGGGACATTTCAGTAGGCAGGACGCTCGGTTCTGTTGGCAAAGCGCCTTCCTTGTTTAACGCTAGCGCGCAACACAGACATGTCTGCATCTCTAACACACCCACCCCGAACAAAAATCCCCAACGAGAAGAGCGCCCAGCCAAGGCAAGTGACCTACGGGAAACACCGAGTTACCTTGAGAAGTTATGGGCCAGACAAGAGAAAGTTTACGAACATACAGAGACAATCCAGTTTCCCCTACCGTTATTCAAAAATGGCGCCCTGCCTACCAAAATCGTCCTTCACCCCACAACCCTCCCCCACTCATCAACAACTGCCGGCACAGACGTAGCGCTAAGCTAGGACATACAATGCAGACGCGCTAGCTAAAAAGCTACAGATGTAGCGCTCCGCTTCTCTAACGCATCCCCTTCCGGTTGACAACTGCTGGCACTAACGTAGCCTTAAGCTAGCGCACAACACAGACATGTCTGTGTCTCCAACAACATCAACAAAAATCCCCAATGAGAAGCGCACCATGCCAAGGCAAGTGACCTCGGGGAAACTGCACGGGCCAGACAAGTACGGAGACTAAACCCAGTGCTTTCCCTACAATTTTCCAAGGAGGGCGCCCCGCCTATCAAAACTGTTCTTTACCCACAACTCCCCCCTTCCCCTGCGATGGCAGTCACATGACACTAAGCTAGCGGCGCGCAATACAGATGTGCTAGCAAAACAGCTATAGAAATAGCTGTAGCTATGTCTCTCTCACGCATAGCCCCCCATCGACAAAAAACTGAGAAGACATGCGCGCCCTCAAGGCAATTGACCCAGTAGTACTATAGAGCTGCGATTTTTGGCCCAAGACGCCAGTCCAACCCGAAATTCAGGCCGGGTTCGTCTCGGGCTTTTTATACAGTTTTACGAATCATACAGAACAAAGCAAACTAAACGAGAATTCATAAAATTGTGTTAACTACTTGTAAAGGAGGCAGAAAGTTTATATGTTGAGGAAGAGAAATAAATAAAATAGAGTGCAGAAGTTATTAGACTGTGAAAAGAGAGAGTAGTGCTGGCGCATTGCGCAACAATTGCGCATGTGGCCCTGCCCGCCCTTTGCTCTTATCACACATCTGAGGATTTGCAAGTGACTCACAACGAGGGACATAATGGAGCTGGAAAGCATTAAACAAAAGCTAAAAACGGGAGGTCACTCTACAAAGCCAGCACAGTGAAACCTGTTGATGTGTCAGGTCAGGTGCACGCTCAGGTCCGACTGGCCGGTTGAAAAAAGGAAAAAAATAAAAAGGAAAAAAAAAAGTCCAGTTAAGCTTTAGATGGACAATGGGATCATCAGCCGCGTGCGTCCGCTGACCGGCCAGTTGAAAGAGGTATAAAAAATAAAAATAAAAGACTAGGCTATTCATTTTGTATGTTAAAATCCATTTGGTGACTTGTTAATAAGCAAGAAACCTTAATCATTTTCTTTGAAATAAGTCTTTAAAATATCATGTCAAACTGATTTGCTTACGAAACCAGTAAAAGCTTAATAAAAAAATATATCTATAAATTTTAAAGTTCAGGGCTTTAATTACAATTAATTACAGTAGTCGGGTTGGATTCGTAAAAAATGCATATGGGCCAGAATTTTTAGGCCTGAATTCAACTCTACTACTATACCATAATACGTCAGCCTCGAAGTGCATATAAAAATGTTGTATGTAGCAATATTTTTAAGTTTTCTTGAAGAAAATATTAATGAACAGAATACACCAAAGCAGACATTAAAGTGGCCACTGGGACAAGAAAATACTTTTAACAGAATGAAATTATGCCATTTTCTCCATGTTTTATTTAGGGATGACGTTATCGGCCGATATTAGCGTTAAAGTTCAATACCAGACATTCCATCAAAATAACTCACCGATATAAAAAGGTGCCATTTATGTACGTCAACACAGTGACAAGGATGCCTGCAGCGCCAGATGACGTCACGCACGCCTACCTGATGTCGCGGCGGAGAGGAACATTCAAAATGTCGGAGGTGTGTAAGTTTTTTTCGTTGGTGAGGATGTCGGATTCAGAAGCTAATAGCCGATAGCACGACTTGTTGGGGGAGTTTTACCACAGACATTTGGACGTCGTGTTAGCCCCGTTAGCATGATTAGTCTTACGGCACAACAGATAGACAAAAACTTTGAACTTAAAAAGGCACAGGAGTGCAGAGGATCCCACACTGCGGCTATAGGAACCTGGAACAAGCCTCCACAGGCTGTTACACAATTTTTGTAGTAAATAAGTCTAAATAAGAGGGTTATGTTCTGACAAAGGAAAGTATATAAAAATATTTGTATCTCGGCCAACAATCCAATATCAAGCATCCCTAGTTGTAATAGTCGTTCAGGATAATCAAGTATGTGACGCACTATAATACATGAACTCAACAATACAATGACTTGTACCAGTACAAACAAAGCTGGGACTCACCACTGAAAGGCATTATAGTGGAAGTAGACCATTCCGAGGCCATAGAGAAACGCAGCGTTCTAAATGGAAAGATGGGAAATTGTTTACAGGAAATCAAATCCTGACAGAAATATTCTGCCTGTTTGACAGTTTGCAATAAATAAATAAAACCCATACTACAGTAATGTCACTCAAATATATACCAACAAAATTAAATAATAATAATTAAAAGAAAGGTTGGTGATTATACAACCTTGCAGCTACTTCTTGATAAAGTCCAATTTAAATAAAGTAGAATAAATTATTTAAAACAACCAACTATGGCATCCTGTCTAACCACCAATGTCAGCGAAACAATAAAAGGGTTCAAAATGACTGACATGAAACCTGAAACTGCATCTTGTACCGATATCTAACCCACTGAAACCATACATGCGAGGAAGCTTAAGATCAGCGTGTGTGGCAGCGAAACATTACGAGTTATAGGAGTGCGCTCGCACACGTGTACGCCTTACCTTCCAGTAGTCGGACTGTAAACTGTAGTACCTCTGGTACGCTGATAACGCTGAAATTAAAAGATCATGAAATGCATGGTAAGCCGGAGTCATGAGCGCCCAGAGTTCATAGTCTGAAATTAAAACCTGCAAGCTCAAAGTAAGTGACAAAGCACGTCTGAACTAAAAACAAAACAAAAAAAAGGTTGTCACCTTTCGGATAGTCCTCCAAGAGGAGGTTGAAGTGACCGAGCTGGCAGAAGAGTTCAGGCTCCACTTTGCCCTCGGCCTTAAGGATGAGCGAGTCGTAGCAGCGAACAGCCTGCGGGGGAAACACAACACAAGTCAAACTCTCACTGTCTAAAGCAGGGAGGGGGGGGGCTACAAGCCAGTGCATGGGGGTCCGCAAAAAAAAAATATATATAAGCACGTAGATGCTTAACAACCTGTTAAAATACACCAAAATGCAGGAAATCACATCTACTTTATTCAAAATTTTCTGGGGGAGGACCCCTCCCGCCTACTATTTGCGTTCCGGCACCGACCAGTTTACAAATTAAGCCCTGTCACTTGGTCTGACTACTGCCGTTATGATGCGGTTCAGAAAAGAGTTTTCTGTAATAATTTAAAGTGACAACACATTTATTATTGGGGGAGTGGAGGCGCAGCGGTTAGAAGATGGGCCTGTGATCGGAAAGTCTCAGGTTCAACTCCCGGTACAGTGTTTTCCCCTAGTTAACTTGCCATGCTGGGGTGCTCATCTCATCCATGATTTTTGTTGACGGGGGCACAGCTTGTACAAACAGCTTTTGAGCGAGGACGGGGAGGGGGGCATTCACCATGAGGGAAGTGGCACCTTTAGCTTTTTAGCTAAAGCGCCTGTATTGCGCGCCGCTAGCTTAGCACTATGTCAGTGCCGGGGGGAGGGGGTGGCGGTCAGTTTGGTATGCGGGGTGCTCAGTTCTGTTGATGGGGTGGGGCACCCCGCTTGTATAACGGTAGAGGAAACACTGCGGTACCGTCAACATCAAACTCGCCCCACTCTGGCCCCCTGAGCAAGGCCCTTAACCCCCACCATCCGCTCCCTTAACAGGTCTCTCTTGAAAATGAGTTCTCGTGACTCAATGAGACCACCTGTATAAATAAAGGGTAAATTAAATTATGTGAACAGGTAAAGTTTTAAAGTGTTTTTTTTTTTTTTTTACACTGTTAATTTTCTCAAAACTGTAATTTATGGAAGCTGAAATTAAACATTTTGTTAAGGGTGTCTTAAATAAAAAATACTCCATGTTTAAAAGTATAAAAAAATTGTATCAACACTATTAAAGAACAGGTCTTTAGTATTTATGTTAAACAAATATTTCCATTGGGTTAAAGAGACAAATTGAAGAAAATGATGCGGGTCAATGAAACTTGTTCCTCCCCTGTAAAGGGTTCCCTGAGCACAAAAAGTTTGAACCCCGAGAGTTTGGTTTCTCTCAGTAGGATGCAAATGACAAGATCCATAGATTTAGAAGCTACGTTAACCTCCGACGCACGTCAAGTCTTGATATTTTCCATCTAGGTTCTTGGACGACCATTCATAAAAGAAAGCGTTCCTCGAACTCTGCGCCATTGAAGCATTTTAAAACCAACTTTGTTTCTGTTGCAATCAGTGTCTTAGGTTTAACAATGTTTGTTAGGCCTGTCGTGATAAACAATAAATCGATTAATCGCATGATAAATTAAAATTATCAACCTCATTTTTATCGGCTTTACCGTTTCTTCGTGTCTCTCTTTCTACTGAAGACACTGGACGACAAAAGGCTCAAATCCGGTGCTCTTCACTGACCCCTCCCCTTCTCTTTAAAATGCGTCCAAAATCAGGTTTTTGGATCATTAAAAGCAGCTAAGCTGAGAAGCTAAGCTACGAGCTAAGCTAACAGGCCGACCTCGGGGAAAAACCTCCGTCTTGTCGAAGCTCCAAAATTCACGGTTGAAACCCGTGCCTTCGTGTAAAATGTTTTTCTCTGCAAAAAAGAATCTGAGAACTTGTTTACCGATTTTTTTTATTAAAAGCTTTGTGTGACAAATGCTATGCTAAAGAGCTCAAACCACACCGAGCGCCCGCCATTTTGAGAACTGGAGAGACAACCCATGTCACGTCAAGGGGCCTCCCTCCCATTTTTCTTAAAGAGACACGCTGCTCGCTCCCTCACTATCCATCCTTCGAATCAAAACAGTCTTATAGTGCCATCCAGTGGTCAAAAAAGAAACTACACTCAAAACAAATTAACCAACATTTCTTCTTAAATTTGACAATAATTACTAATTATTGTCAGATTTCAAACAATATCATTTATCGCAATAATTTCGGAGACAATCGCCCAGCTAAATTTGTTATCGTGACAGGCCTATTTATCCATTTTCCTTGACTCATCTTTTTATATCATTTTATCCTGCTCAGTGTTTCTCCTTTATTACTTGCCTTGGCAGAGCGCTTCCATTATTTTTGTCGACGGGGGGAGGTGGAGACAGAGACACGTGTGTGTTGCGCGCCGTTTATACCGACAGACGGCTTACGAGCGGGGGGTGGAGACGACTCACCGCGAGGGAAATGGAGCGCTACCTAGCTTTTTAGCTAGCGCATATGTATTGCGCCACTAGCTTTGCGCTACGTCAGTGCCGGCAGTTGTTGACATGGGACGGGTGGTGTCGTTAGGCAGGGCGCTCGGTTCTGTTGACAGGGCACGGCACCCTGCTTGTACAAAGGTAGGGGAAACACCACTGGTGTTCTGATTTTGTTCTTAAGATGAGTGAGTTGTATTTATCTTCAAGTATTGTGCACAGGTCTTGTTTTTTGGAAAAGAAGCTGACTTACGTCACCGATATCAAATCTACCTACGGGTATGAATAAAGTTGACTGATCAGATAGTGGGGTTGAGCTGATGGACCTTTGTCACCCTTTACAGTTCAAATGGAGATTTTCATTGGATGACTTATTGTACACCTCGCCTCCTTCGTCTGTTGCACAATTGGGGAAAACTCAAAAGAATTAATGACTGTAACTACATTTTCACATCACTGACATCTAGTAGTTACTGTTGGTGATACAGCGACCCAGTTCTGTCAGCAGTGTTGAACCCACTCTTCTTTGTACACAAAGCCACAGAGCAGAGGTACATCCCCAGTTCCAGCGAGGTTCATCGCAAACTGACAAGCCGAAACGGAGTAGGGTCATAAAACACATTAAAGCAAAGTAAGTAACCGGCTACAGCTATCTGACAACATCACACACGCAGCGTTTGTGAATCCGACCAAATTATCAAGTTGTTGTCATTAAAATGTCCCAACTGTGGCAACAAATGTGAAATTTCATCTATTTTATATGTATGCAAGTTGTAGATGCTTTGCCTCATGCTGTTTGCCCTTGTAAAGTTAATGCTGCAAGCAAAGCTCGATTTTCACAGCTTTTTTTCCCACTACACCACAAACAGTATACATTATATATTATTAGTAAATAATTATATTATTAATGGCTTTGAAACGTTTGATTTGTGTTCAAATTTCCAGTGATAAACACACTAACCCATGAGCTTTTTCTATGACACTTTCAACATTGAAGTTAGCATCAATGCTAATTGTTGTCGTTTTATATACTCTCCACCTTTTACTGGGACATACATCGGACTATATTTATGTACAATAACGCACAGTCATTAAAATGTCAAGATAAAAAGAATATGATAAATTTTCTATACGACAACGCAGACTTCAAAACGTAATCTTGAGGTGCCTTAAGAGTCCCCCTACCAGTTTACAGTTGGTTTGTTTACAACAGCAGCTTTTAGCTCGTCTTAACCTACTAACATTGCATTTTACATATAAAGTTTACAGCTGCTTGTTGGCAACGAGACAAAACGTCGACAATAACTTTTAAGTGACGAACGCTCACACTGAGTAAGTTCCAACCAAACAAGAACACCGATTAAGACGAAGTAGGTTAATTGCATTATTTAACTAAATGTAAAGTGTTGATTAAGTATGGTGCACAAGTTAGGTTCAGTTAATAAAAGGCAAATCTGAGCTTCTTTTTTATTAGTTTTTTTTTTTGCCTCGCGTAGAAAAGAAATAGCTTATTTTGGCTTGTTGCCCCACGTCTGTTGCCTCATTTCAAAATCTGTTCACCACCTTCTACCCGTCTCCTCCTACAGTACACACAGGTGACAAACCAGTAAAGGTAATAAAGTTCATATTGGTTTCAATGCCAGAGACTACTGAGATGAATAAGGTAAAGTTAAATGACAGCAGGAGATAAATGTTCATCGTTATGCTGATGACGCTCAGTTATATTTATCCAATATGGCCTCCTGGTTTCATCTAAAGAACCTCTGTGTCATTTTAGATCAGGATGTCACTCAACCCCCCACATTAATAATGTTACCAAGATTAGACGCATCCAGTCCCAAAATGAAGCAGAAAAACTGGCCCATGCATTTATCACATCTAGACCGAGATCTTGTTGTTCCATATTTTTTTGATTAAGCACATTGCTCTCAGAGTGCAGGTTTACTTGTGGTTCCTAGAGTTTCCAAAAGCAGAACGGGAGGCAGAGCTTTCAGTTATCAGGCTCCTCTCTTGTGGAACCAACGACCATTTTCTGTATGTGTTCTGTCTACTTTAAGACTAGAATTAAATTTGTCCTTTTTTTTTTTTTAAATAAATCCTATTCTTGGGGTCAGCTTTGGTTTCCTCCTGAGCTATTCCTTAGTTCTGCTGCTATAGGCTTAGACTGCTGGAGAGCAAACTGACCACTTCTCTTCTCTCTGCTCTTTATGTTTGCATTTACAACTATTTCTATAATTTACTTTGTTTTTTCTTCTTTCTTAGTCTTCCTTCTCATAAAAAAAACTATGCCAGGGCCATAGAAAGTTACACAGGGGCTATAGAAAACTACACCCGGACAATGGAAAACTACACCCAGACCATAGCAAATTACACCCGGACCATGGAAAACTACACCCGGACCATAGCAAGTTACA